ATAGGGACTTTAATGCAATAATATAGTCAGTTTAATCTTTCTATGCAAGTGAAATTTTAAAGAAGCCGCAGCGGAAAAGGAAACGCTCAGGACTCGCCGAGCACTTCCTTATCGCTGCAAAAAAAGCAAGTTGAGATTGACCCAGACGATTCAATTCAACGAACCAAGCAGAATGGTAGGAAAAGGACATTGTTGAACGAATATGATATTGCATTCACTGACCGGAAAAGGTGAGCCGGGTATCGCAACGCCCCTCAGACTAGCGACGATATGATGTTTTCCAATAGATTTGGGAACGAAACTGTAACCATAAATGCCGTCGTCAATTGGAGAGCCGCTGAGAGGCACAAGATTCAAATCTTCATCAAACACTTCAACCAATGGAGCATCACCGCAAGCTGAAATCATTGAATTCAAATGCTTAATTGGTCAATACGCATTTTTTGAAAGAAGAGAAAGGAGTTAACCTCCAGCGTTTCGGGTGTCAATTTGAAAAGATGCCGGTTCGCCAGGGGTGAGGTTGATTTCGTTGTCAAGGCAGACGAGTTGTGCCGCTGATGGGTAAAAGCCGGCCACGGTAGGCTCGACCTCGAGAACGAAAGGAGAATCTGTTATGTGCTCTCCGCCAGCCAGTACATTGACCTTGTAAATACCGGGTTCCTTTGGCTGAAAAATGAAGTTTTTTTTGATATATTTGAAATCAAGTGCGAGAATCATTGCTGAAAACGCGCATCACAAAAAAACGAAAGTTACAAGTATTTTCTATTTTCTAATCTAGACCACAGATACGCATTGCTTAACATACTGTTGGGAACTGCATGAGCATTTGAGGAATAAATTACGTTTCTGCTGTACTGACCAGACTAACGTTTTTTGCACTTATACGTTAATGTGTGTTGGATTCCGAGGGCGCGATTAGTATGATGCACGTCGGCTAATGTTGAGACAGAACATTTCATTCAAGTCACTTGGAAAGGTTGAAGGATTGAGTGAACCCTTCAAAAAAGTCACACAGTCTCCTTCAAGGTAATATGGCGACCAAGCCCATGGAAAGTACTCAACCCCACGTCATAGCCTCGGAAGCTTTCGCTGATATCCATATGTCGAGAACAGTTACAATACTGGAGCTCATCTTACTGAAGTTGAAGAACCCCCCTTAGGGCAACGTTTGTGAGGAGGGGGGTGGGGGGATTGGTGTGTCTGGAATGCGCGCGGCGAACTGCACGGCAACTGAAACGACTTTAGCGCCTATCATTGGGACACAGCTTTACAGAAAAGAAGATTTCTAGGTTCATTTGATCCAACTAACCTTCCGTACCTCAAAATTGGACCTCAATGATAGGCGTTAAAGTCGTCCAAATCGTCATGAATTCCTACTGCTACTTAAGTTAGCAAAGTAATCCTCACTGATGTCTGAATGATACCCCCCAACTGCTCTTGGAGGCAAAAACCAGTATATATGAGCCTCTTCCATTCAATGCCCCTCTTGAAAATTATGAGTGTACTATGAGTGGCTGTTCTACAGGGAATTAAAGGAGACAGCGAGCAATACAAAACCATTCTCTGCAGAAGGCATCATGCCCAAAATTTGGTTGTGAATTAGGTGGAGCCAATGCCGCCCTGATCTGTAATCATTAGTGGAAAAATAAGTTTGAGGGTGTGTTCAACAAAACTATCCCTATAAAAAGAAGAGTCGCTGTCAAACTCCGTTTTGCGATGAATGGAACAAGTATTTCATGATGTTCTAGCTACTGTTGATCAAGAAATGTAGCAGGCAAACGTCATTGCTGAGAAGTTAGCCAGAAGTAAACCACCAGCATGATAAAAACATTCAGAAATGTAAGAAGCAGAGCAAGAAGAAGTATTAGGTTGAGGCATAATTATTGCGGATTTTTTGCGGCTTCTTTTCACTCGAAGTTAAACTTTTGAATTCGGGATTTTTGTAGAAATAATCTTCTCATTTTTCTTAACAGAAATATGTCTAGAAAGTCATTTTCGTATGCGCCAAGTTATGCTCTATCACTTCAAGAAATGTTGGAAAGCGGCCCACTCATAACGTGATCTCAGCGAATTTCTCGGCGATGGAACAGTCAGCCAAAGCCGAACAAGGAATGGAATCTGCTTCTGCGGTC